CTCCTGGTTACTCCAATCATCTATCCAGTCAATTGAGACGAGAATGATAATGCTTGGGAGTTCCATCAGTTTTCTACCTTACATTGATATCTCTGTGTGATGTAGACCAAACAACCAATGAGACTTTGTATAATGTTTCTTGTACATTGAAAAGCTCCAGTGATATCGAGATAAAAGAGCCTCAAAACGTTCCTCGGCATGGTAGACATAGATGATACGATGAAAGCAATTGAAATCGATATTTCCTTAACAATGTTGTTGATAAAGGGTGAAGCTGGATATAAGGGTATATGAAAAGCACTTGTTGCATTGTATTCTTTCATTTTGTTTTTTGTGGTTTCTCTAAAGGAAAAGTGGAAAACTCGTGGAAGAACACATGCATGTATGCACTACTTGTTTCTTCCAAGGACATTTCAGGAGTAACGGCCAAATCGGAGAGGAACAAAAGAACTGAAAAAGACAGGGTGATATCGATGGAGTACGTTGAAGGTGACCGGGGGTGACTGGACAACTAATTGAAGATATACTGTCAAAGAGAAACATAGGAAAGATAAATCCATCTCTAAAGAGGAGACAAGGGTATTTCTAAGTGGGTCGAGTGTGATGATCAAGTGATCACACCATACAGCCAGATGGGGGCGCAACTACACACTTCTCATGCGGACACTTTGGCTTTTTTCTTTTTGGGCTCATCGTTGGGTTCGGACTCCAGATCAACAACTTGATTGGGATCGTCGTCCTCCTCGTCCTCCTCCTCATCACTGTACGCTAATTCGTGGTTGCCGGCCTCAACGACTCCTGCGTAGAGGCTTTTAAAAACGAAAAACAAAACGAAAAGAACAATGAGGCGATGTTGAATTGAAGAGGGGATGGTCAGGATGAGCCAAGAGAGAACTTACTCTAGTGCTTTGGAATGAATTTCCAAGAGGTTGGTGTGTAATTCATACATATCTTCTTCGTGACCGAAGAAGTTGAAAAAGCTACCAGCGGTGTCATTGAAATCAATTTGGACTTCCTCCTTTTCGAACTCCTCAATCGACATCGAAGGTTTCTTGGCCACCAAATTATGTTCATCGGAAGTCC